GTCAGACCATGACATAGCGTAGAGGTATGAAGAAGAGTTAGCCTCAGCATTGGCTTCGGTTGGTGCAGGTCGCCTTCCAGGCTGGGGCTCAAGGGAGGAGGATTGCTGATGGTTAGAGACACAGAGAGACATGCTGCAAAGTAGATATCAGTGGCATGATTACTGTACAGTTTGTTTAGCGAAACCCCGTTCCTCATAATACAAAAAATCTTCAAAAGATGTACGGTGAAACTATCAAAAAAATCATTCCTTAATTCATTTGTTTTCCCTTTCTCTATTTTCTCCATTTTCATTCTGTCTTTCTATACTCCGTTATAATATGATGATCATTGTTTTGCGTAGTCACCATGCTTATTCTCAAGCCGGTGATATATATCATGGTGCAATTTATCTTTATAAAAAAGAAAAACGGTCTATCATTTGCATGTGGGTCGAATATTGACAGGTTTCCCAGTTCAAGACAGGTGTATTTTCTTGAGGAATTCACAACCGTAGTCTTTGGTTAGGTAAAGCCTAACCCGCAAAGCGTCGGGGTGGCGTATAAAAACCGCAGTTTACGCTAAAAATGATATAATATTTTACGATGGGCTCATAGATCACCTTACTTTTTTGGAGTTCATTGTACAATTGTGTATGTAACAAGCAGGAAGAAAACAGTAATAAAATTGTGTATTAGTGAAACGAACGACTAAGGTACTAATTGTTTTTCATTCACTGGCAAGTAACCTGTAATGTTGCAGGTTCTCAACGTTTTATTCGGAGGAACAATCAGTTCTGGTTCAATACCGCGTCTAACCTAGCAGGGTTTTATATCGTTTGCCACTCCAAGTCCCCGATCTTAAGTTACAGGTTTCCATAACTTAACAGCAGTTCCTCGTGACCATGGGGTTTACCCCAACTGCTGTCCATCATGCTAAGATGTGTAATAAAAAAAGTTACTTTTAGGTGCACTTCTGCACCTAGTCTGTTTTCTGACAAACTTTCAGTGGTTGTGCTCCACTTGTCGTTAAGGGAACTCTCAGTTTCAGTGATCCAGCCTCTACCGTGCATGTTAGCGTACAATTATTTTTTGATAGAGAACTGGCATGCAAATATTGATATAATTGACTGGTATATTGGTCTGAAAAAATGACATTCTCCCTGTCAACATTATTCGCGTTTCGTAACTCTTCTCATTATACTCTGGTTGGTTTTCTCCGAAGTTACAATATGATCTTAGCTGTTGCCCGGTTCAACAACACGTTTATTTAAACGGCCCCTGGTGTTCACCTTTCCCACTCCGATGATTTATTTTGGCACTTCCCGGAGGTAAACATCAGTTCTTCCTGACTGGATCTGAACCCTTCTACTGATTGTGCATCATACTTGTGGATATACTAATCGATCATGAAGTGCATTATAAGTTGGTTCGATTGCTCAATTATTTCTACCATCCCGCCTCTTTTTATGATATTAGGTAGAAACTAATGCTTCCGGTTAATGAGTAAGCCAATGTTAAACAAAAGGAAAGCATAACTTTTCAACGTCTGTCATGCACCGTTTTAAGCTCACGGTTTATGAGAGAATCATTTCCGGTACGCTCACTATTCGAGTTCGACATGATACGAACCGGATATAGAAGAGTAGTGTTACTCATTCATCTAAACCACATTATAGATCAATCGTGAGAAATCGGACTATAGTGAACTGATACTGAGTTTAGTGCTAGATTTTCTCATCGAATTTTCCTTCCTTAGGAACCATATTATTTATTCTCCAAAGGAGTTCACTCGTTTTGTTTTCTTGAATAGATGATGTGCTTCATGCAACCGAAGTAACAACTGTTCGGAAGCTGTTCGAAAAACGCAGCCCGAGCGAACCTTTTTCAACTTGTCTCTGAAGCCATTTGCGTCCAGCTACCTCGTTTGTATTCATGCAGCTAACAACTAAATGGTCAACAGGTGTGTTAACATGACTTAATGTCATGAAATGGAGGTCAATAAAGTCGTAAACGCTCAATTGTTTGTGCTATGTAAAAATATGTCGATTTGGCGTCTGAATTTTCGCATCACTTGTTACCGTATTTTAAGATTTTAAGCCATGAACTCTGTCAGATTTGGCATGTTTCTTTCGATGTATCACTAAAAGTGAGAAATAATTTTTTTCATAGATTAGTTTATTTACATTAGTTGAAATATGTTTTGGCATGGACTACAGGTAATGATGGACCCCAGAGAGTGAATTCATAAATGTTTCCTATGCTGACACCTTCATTACTATCTTTCGATAAGAGGAATCTTCTATATTGTTATCCGCTTTTATCTTTTAATGAACAACGATTCTCACCTCTCAAGCCTTCAACCCTTATTTCGTTTCAACAGCTTGGGGTTCCTCCTATTTTCCACAATGCACCTGTATCACCGACTGGCGGTTTTTGATCTACAAGGCAGTCCATTTATGCGGAGCCGCGGTTACGCTGATACATCGAACACCATGCAGTCCACACTGCAATCTCTGGAACAACAGCTAGCGGAGCTGGTGGAACTCACCGGTCAGTTGGCACAGTCGTTGATGCATATGACGGGAGAAATACGTGGGATTCGCCTGGAATCAGGTCCATCTTCGCCAGCTACGGTCAGCGCTCCCGTCAGCCCATCATCTGCATCTCCTCCGGAAACAGGACCACCTGTGTGATAGACAGCTCCCAGTCACGTCCAAGTCATCTTTCCGCCCATTATCTTTCAGAATGCATTTGGCCCGTTCCTACGAGCCGTCCTCATTTGTCCCTGTCCGTTCATGTTTTCTCACCTTACTTCAGCACATTTGTGAGTGTTCCCTTGAATGATTGTAGCTCCTTCGAGTCCCTCCCCCCATATTGCCACTCACCGTACTGAACTCCGTCCTCATTTTCTGGTTTTGATCTATTCCGAGAAGTTTACTTTGATTTTTGATCTGATTCCCCGGTTTGTCTGTCCGTTCGCGTTTCCAATCACCCTGTTGTTCGGTCCATGCGTATATACCTTCCGATTTGTAATACTCAACGTGTGAACTATTGGAATCCTTTTTCAAATCCCACCGTGTCCGACTACCTATCTGCCTACCCGACCATATCC